TCCTTATTGACTCGTGCGAACAACTATTGTTATCTAAACCGAATTCAAATATAATAATTGCTGGTGACATTAACAATTTAAACATTCGATCTGTTCTTAATCAACTTCCATTTACCCAACTCGTTAAGACCCCTACGAGAAGGTTAAAAATATTAGATGTCTTTATTACAAATGTCCCAAACTATTGGAAATCTGTTAAAGTTGTAAAAAGCTTGGTGAGATCCGACCATGATATGGTTATCACATACCCCCGAAACATAGTTAAAGCAACAAGGACAAATTCCTATTTCAGAGATGTGAGACAACATCATCAATTGAATATGCTTCGTGAACTTGAATCTATTGATTGGAACACGATAATTATGAATAGCCATAACCTAGATGAGATAACCCTAAAATTTTATGAAATAATATGGCCAAAATTCGATAAGAGCTTCCCACTAATTAAGGTCAGAACGTCATCACACGACCCTCCGTTCATGTCTCCTTTTGTGAACCACCTTCTGAATCAAAGGAAAAGAGCCATACAAAACGGAAATACTGAAGCAAATACACGATTGCAAGAAAAAATCAACAAGTTAATTCGGGAAAATCAATTAAGTGCAGTCAAACAGGAGTTTGGCAACCAGAAAACTGGATCAAAAAGTTGGTGGTCTAACGTAAATAGCATTACATCGAGAAAAAAGAAACATGATGTATCAGTAAGTGCTTCTCTTAACCCTAGTGAAATTAACAAATATTTTCAAAGTGTGAATACAGACCCAAATTATACGACTCCCGAGCCTCTTCAAATCTCCGAAGGAACAAGAATTCCCTCGTTGTCAATTCATGACGTTCAACATCTTTTACGCAATCAAAAACGCTCTTCATCGGGTCCGGACAATCTGCCATATTGGTTTTGGAAATCGTTTGCTATTGAATTAGCTCCTATTGTCACAGAAATTTTTAACATGTCACTAAAAACCAGCAAAGTACCTCAGAAATGGAAATTCGCTAATTTATTACCACTCCCTAAAGAATCACCATTAAATTCGTGTAACCAGTTAAGACCAATCTCTCTGACGGACATCATCATGAGACTATTCGAGAAGTGCGTGTATAAATCTGAAATCGAACCTATCACAAGAAATAACATTGGTCCTGACCAATTTGCTTATAAAAAGGGTCAAAACTCGACTATGGCTCTGATTAAATCCCAACATCAATGGCTAGAGTGGCTGGATAAAAACGCTAATTATGTTAGAGTGCTGTCGTTCGATTTCAGCAAAGCATTTGACAGTGTGCCCCACGATCTTTTGTTTGAAAAAGTTAAAAAGCTACCCATTAATCCGTATGTGGTGAACTGGTTAATTAGCTTTCTAGAAAATAGAATACAAAGAGTAATGGTTGATGGAATGGTTACAGAATATTTATATATTAATCGTGGTGTCCCTCAAAGTACTGTTTTAGGCCCAGTTCTTTTCTCAATAATGGTTGATGATATTAAAACTGCTGATCCTAGTAATGCGTTAGTCAAATTTGCTGACGATTTGACGTTAGGAGTGCCTGGTAACGAAAGTGGTGACACATCTCGATCTGAAGCTGCCTGTTTACAGGATTGGGCGGAAGAGAATAGAATGCCCTTAAACTTGGAAAAAACGTACGAAATGGTTGTTCGCAGACACACCTCTGTAGTTTTGCCCGAGCTTATCCCGTCAATTAAGCGAAAAACATGGCTAAAGCTTTTAGGAGTTACTCTACAAGATAACCCGTGCAACTGGGATTTGCACTTTGAAGAAATGCTCAAAAAAGCAAGTTGACGAATGTACATTATGAGAGTTTGCAAATACTATGGACTATCAATTAAACAATTAGATCTGCTGTTTGATAGCCTAATTATGTCGATATTCACTTTTGCTATGGAGCTGTGGGGTTGTGCATACGACGGTAAATATTTGAACCAAATAGATAAATTCATTAAACGTGCACATAAGAATGGTTATATATCAAAACGAACACACATTAAAGAAATACGTGATAAGAGAGATAAGAAACTGTGGAACAAAATAACATCAACTGAGGACAATGCACTGCTTGAACTGCTGCCGGAAAAAAGAAGTAGGTTACTTAGGCCTAGAGGGCATGAGTATGAACTCCCCCTAGTGAGAACAGAAAGATTCAAAAGGTCGTTCATAAATCGTTGTCTGTATAACTTTGTTTAGACTTTAATCTATTTAGACTTTAATCTATTAAAAAGTTTTTAAAACTTTTTACGCTTCTTAACTTACAATTGTAAATATAACTAGATCAATTACCTTTCGATTGTAAACTCAGACGGATGTATCTGAGTATTTTAATAAAGACTATTATTATTATTATTATTATTAAAAAAGATAGAAATTAACTCTGTACGAGTAGGCGATGTGAATATCAAACCAGCGGAAAGTGCTCGGGATTTGGGTGCTTGGTTTGATAAGAACATGTCCATGGACGTTCACGTAGGAAAGGTATGCAGCAAAGCTTTCAGAGGTCTATATAACATCAGACAAATAAGGAAGTTCCTTTCTTAGGAGGCGACCAAAACTCTTGTGCACGCATTTATAACGTCACATCTAGATTACTGTAATTCTCTATTGTTTGGGATTCCTCAGTATCAGTATCAACGCTTACAAAGAGATATAAACGCCGCTGCAAGGATGATATGCTATACACCCAGAACTTCTCATATTACTCCAGTTTTAATGCATCTTCATTGGTTACCAATATAGTTTCGAGTGGAATTTAAAATTGGTTTATTAGTGTATAAAGCCCTAAATGGAATGGCACCTCAATAGATCACCGACTTATTGTCATTTAAACCCGAAGGCAATTACCATTTAAGATCAGATGATTATTCGTTGCTGCAAATTCCCAAAACAAACCCAAAAATACTTGGAGATGGATCATTTAAGCATGCTGCTCCTCTATGGAACTCTCTCCCACTTAACATTAGGCGGTGTGAAACTGTTAACTGTTTTAAAACTCATTTAAAGACATTTCTATTTAGGAAGGCGTATAAATAGACTAATTTTTAAGAACTATTAGTGTGTATATATTGTTTTAAATTTTTAATATAACTCTAAGATTGCTGACACGTATCTAGCTTTTTAGAATAGAGTCAGTTTAGTTATTATTGTAAGTTTACCATTGTAAAGCGCTTTAGAATATTACATCATCGATTAAGCGCTATATTTAAATACTCAGATTATTATTATTATTATTATTATTATTATTATTATTATTATTATCGGAAAAGAAGAAGATACGAAGATCTCATTACACAGCAAAAGAAACAATTTAAGTCCGTAAAATTTGTAAATTTGTCAATTAGTTCTTTAGGCGTTTTCTCAAAAGAATGTCATTCCTTTTTAGATATGTTAACTGATCTAGGTCTTGATAAAAGACACCAGTATTTCGCTATCAGGAAAATTATGTCTATCGCGATTAGGACAATATATTATATATTTTGTTGCAGAGATAAGGACTGGTTAAATCCGGAATTACTGAACATTTAAGGATACTCATTATTAATATATAAATATTAAGCAGGTTCAAGTAGTCAATTATAAATTACCTAAATTAGTGAGATTTATAATTGTATATATACGTATATAATTTCAATAAAGTTTCCATTATTATTATTATTATTATTATTATTATTATTATTATTATTATAAGATCAAACGGGTACACAAAATCAGACTCTTCCTGGGGTATCATACGAACAAACGGGTTCAAAAGAGCAATCAAATCCCGCCGTATCATACGATAGGTTGGATGCAGCTACAAAGCGAGGGCGTACGCCTGTAATACGGCTAGATGACGATGATGATCATGTGCCAGCCAAGCGAGTTCGAAGCTCGGACGATGCAAATTTTGACGATGATGTTAATTATGAGTTGGAGGAGTTAGAAACAGAGAACATTCTCTCTCCAAACTCTCGATGGGAAGCTAGTGCGACTTTATCGCAGTTTCTCGAAACAACTGTAAAACGGTAAAATAAATTTGAGAGAAAAACTTTGGTCAAAATTACTTACCCAAGACCAAACGTGGACGCTGTGTACACGCCAGCGATGGATGAATACTTAAAACCTTTCATCCACGGAGTAGCAACACTTAATAAACCGCATAAAGAGGTTTTGAGCAACGGCTCAAAACATGATCTGAGCGGACTGCAGAAACTATCGGGAAAGCATCTCGAGCAGGCAACTCCTTTTTACGTGGAGCGGCCTCCAGGGGATTCCACAGACCTCGTGGGGGGCGACAAGGATTCAACTTCAAGACCTTTCGCCCATTCAGTCCCAGAGGGACCATATTCAACAGGGGGAACAGAAACCGAGGCCATGGCTCATTTCCAAGATTTACAAATCCCCAGACTTACAAGTCGTTCCACCAATAAAGAAATTCAAACCAGATTGTTTACCCAAAGGTACGTTTTCAGAACTTTTTCAGGTCAATTTGACTCAAAATATACCTCAAACGGGGCGCTTAAAGTTTTTCACCCCCGCATGGGAAATGATCACACAGGACCCTTGGATCCTGCAGGTCATCCAGGGTTACCAGATAGAAGTTGTAACTCCTCCAGTGCAACAGTCATTATCCAATGTACCAAAGCTTTCTTCGACACAAGAGACAGAGTGTTGGAGCAAGAGGTAAAAGAATTGTTGATGAAGCAGGCAATTCATCCAGTACAATCCCCAGAGCCAGCGGCATGATTTATAAGTTCTATCTTTGTGGTACCCAAGAAGGATGGGAGGAATCGTCCAATAGTAAATCTAAAACCCCTGACCAGTTTCTAGGCTACGAAAATTTCAAGATGGAAGGTATCCACATGTTAAGGGATCTATTAAAGAATGGAGATTTTCTCGTGAAAATCGACCTCAAGGAAGCTTACCTGACAGTGCCAATTTGGAAGAACCACCAAAAATATCTGCGGTTTCTTTGGAAGGACACCATGCTGGAGTTTGCATGCCTTCCTTTCGGTTTGGCGACAGCGCCAAAGGTTTTTACCAAGCTTTTGAAGCCAGTAGTAGGGGCATTTAGGCAAAGAGGTATTCGCCTAATTATATATTTAGACGATACCCTTATTATGGCCGAATCTCACGAATATAGCATTACATCATGCAGCCTCAACCCTGAATCTCCTAGAGGGGCTAGGCTTCATAGTAAATTACCAGACATCATAACTCTTACCTTGCCAAGAGATGGGATTTCTGGGGGTTTTGATAGATTCAAACGCAATGACACTCCAACTTCCAGCAGAAAAGTTGCGAAAAATCTGCAGAAAGTGTCAGAAATTTTTAGATCAAACGACAATTTCTGTACGAGAATTGTCGAAATTCCTGGGTCTCCTAACCTCCTCCGTTCAGGCAATATTCCCTGCTCCTATTCATTACAGGCATCTTCAAAGGCTAAAAAATACAACTTTAGCCTACCTTCAAACCTACGAAGCCCAGGTCTTTAGACCAGCCAGCATGAGAAGAGATTCTTTGGTGGAGAGATCATCTTCATGCATGGAATGGCCTTTGTTTCAGGATCCTGCCGAGCTTATAATCGTGACGGATGCCTCTCGGAATGGGTGGGGAGCATATTGCGAAGGGGTGAGGACTGGGGGTCCTTGGTCCTTCGAAGAAAAGAGATTTACATCAACTGTCTCGAACTCCTTGCAGGTTCTGTGGCAATCAAAACATTCACCAAATCCAGAACTTCATGTGCTCATGTAAAACTGCTGATGGACAATGCATCAGCAGTTGCTTACATAAACAGGATGGGGGGGGGGGGGG